GAGCCTTCGTTCTTTGTCGATGTGTGGTGATGCGTTGTGACCTACACTTAAGAACTTAGACCTTCCTTTGAACAGGTTTTGCATGGCTTTGTCGCTTTGTGCTTTGAACTTCCTTTATGTCCCTTTGAAAAGGTTTTGCATGGCTTTGTCGCTTTCCGCCGGACATCACATCATGACATGCGATCATGCAATCATTATAATATGTTTTTTACTTCGCCGGACTTTGCAAAACAAGATGCAAAATATTGAGCTTGTTAAGTTTAGATTATATATATGATGTTCACTGCTTTTCAATAACTTCAAAAACAAAGCGCACAAACACTAAGTAAATGTCGGACGCCATTCGGTTTGCTTTGGAAGCGCTATGGGTGATGAAACAAATCAGTCGGCGCCTCAATCTTGCAAGCTTCTCACCTTTGGTCAAGTGTGAGTCATTCAGAGCATTTTGAACCCATTTGTGGCCACTTCAGAAAGGTGCTCAAAGTGAGGCAGGCAGTTCATTTCAATCCAAATTAATTCCCATAGACTAGAACAATAAGGTTTAATAGACGCACAGGGATCACATGAGGGAACATGTCTAATCACATTTGATCTCACATTTCCCCGTCGGACCCGCCGGACTCGTCACGCCGATCACATTGTTGGAGCTCACGGCAGCGATGGTCTTGGACTGTGCGCGTGCGGCGCATTTGCCAATGACCCAAGAGCAGGCGGAGCGATTGCTGAGTGACAGGCAGCTGCCACTTGTCTGTATTTCCATTTGACCTGTTGTGTGATGCTGTTTCTTTCATTGCGTTGAAGTTGATGCTGCTTCAGTCTGATGTCACCCTTCATCATGGCAACTTGGACTGAGGACCATCACTCTTTTCAGCCAGCTTTCGCAGCAGTTTGGGAATGTCCCCGAGATCCGCCGGACGTGCCTTGCTTCAATTCAATGCACTTGCAATACAGCCCAAGAAAGACTTTGCGTGACCAGGTCAGGGGTTTGATTTCTTATGATGAATGCCTTCTCCAAACATAAGCATTGAGGTATTATGATCCTGGCTGCTTTGTCGTTGAGCTTCCAGATTGCATGAGCCATCCGAACCTGAGGTGTTTGGGCTGCATGTAGAGTTTCTGTTGGGTTCAGATTGAAAGAATCGTTGGTGGTGAAACAAGCTTGATAGTTGTGCCATTAAATCTATTTGCTGTGAAGCTCAGGTTTGCTGCAGAAGCACTCACTGCCATGGCCGGTGAGAAGAAGGCCCAGTGGATGGAGCAGGCAGCTGACAGGAGTGTTGCTGCTCTCAACAGGGCATGGAAGGACACTGGCATGGGTGTCTTCATGGTGCCTGTGTTCTACGCCGGACGGATGTATGGCGCTCAACACTCCTACAGCAATGATGAATATTGGCTGCTTGCGGACCGCGGGCGACTCTTGGCTGATTGCTGGGTTTCTTGAACATGCATTGAAGGTGTTTCTTGGTTGTTTCAAGTTGAGCTGTGGGCCACAAACTTTGCCTGACACTGATGATGCTGTATTTGGGATTCTGAGGAGGATTGGAGCTGTGCTTCCAATGCGTCTGACTGCACTTGGTTCCTATGTAGCCGCCACTGAGGGCTGACCGCCGGACTTTTTTAGATCTGGCGTTCATTGTCGTGACGCCGGACAAGTTTTTGAAATATTCGGTTGAGTTTGTTCATCTGGACGCCGGACAAAGGGAGCTGAGCATCGACTTCTGTTTGTCTCAGGTTCTTCAATTCACTCACTCTGAATCTGCTCTGTCTGTGTGAGCATTGATTCTTTCCTGTGCATCCTACTACTTTATTAATGACATGCGCTTGCATTGTCTGAGGTTGAAACTGAGTGGAGCTCGTTGTCTGCTGCTCAGAGAGAGTTCAAGTCGTTTGCATGCATTGTCGTTTTCATTAGGTAGTAAAGCGTCGGACAATTTTGATTTTGAATCTTTCAAGTTCTCTTCAGTCACCTGCCAACCGACCCGTCGGACAACAAGATGAAGTGGTGGTTCCTCCTGCGCAAATGGGAGTTGAAGTTGATAGGGAACAACCTGCTGGGCCAAATGCTGGGCCAAATGCAGAAATTGGAGAAAACGAGCCAGAGGTTGATGAACAGCCTCGCCCTGTTCGAGGTCCTGGAAGAGGATACATCAATGTGTGGCAAGATGTTTTGTGCAATGTTTGTGGGCAAGTAGCGGGACAAATAAAGCTTGATCCAGGACCTGCAAATCGAGACCCGGAGACTTGGTTCATGAGAGTGAAAGAGGCAGACCGCTGGGCCTCGAAGTACCCAAAATTTCGACGCCGGACTGCCAATGTGATTGGAATGAGCGATGATTTTGCTACTGGGTGGGTTCATGAGAACAGAACCTGTTGTGGTGGAGCTGCTCCCTCATCTCCGTCGGACATGAAAAAGTGGATCCTTGCATGCTATGTTCACATCTAAGTTTCAGTAACCGTTTGACACAATGAATGACATGGAGGCTGTTGAGTGTTTTTAATTTTTAAGGGCATTCTCCTTGGACATTCAATTGTTTGGGGCCAAGGCCAGGACTTGCGGATTCTGAGAGACAATAGAGTTTCTTCATCAGCTGGAGATGTTGGGCGTGATGCCAACAAATGGAGAAGAGCTTGTGTCACTTTTGTATCATCAGCAATGACAATCGGAACTGTTAAGTGTTTTTCCCATGTCATGTCATTTGCTGACCCTTCAGTAAGCGCACTGGCAAAAAATGTACTTTGTATTGGCAGTGTGACCAAAGGTATGCATTGTGTTCAATGAATTTCTTCTGTGCAAAGAATGACCTGTGATTGTTCTTTGAGGGGCTACATGAAATGGTAAACAGTAAACATTGAGGTTTGTTCCATAAGGATTATTTCTCTCTGTCCAGGTGTGGCACGGATCTACTGGATACAAAACGGACCTTTTGCTATCATGTGTGCATTAATATCTTATTCAATCTGTCCATTTCCAGCGCCTACTTACACACACAGTGTATACACAGCCCCAAATATGGTAGCTTTGAAATGTCCCATGCCATTTTATAAATAGTCCCATACTTTACAAACAACTGTACACAACAGTCTCATACTTCTCACCATCAATCAAGCTGTAAATCACTAAACCTATAGAAATCACCAGCCCACACTGTTGTGTATGTTAACATGTTTTCTTCTCAATTCATCTCCTGTTTTTCATTATTTTCCCTTTTTCCATCAAAAAAGGGCTCGAAACATCCAAGATCTAGCTCTTTTGATCTTCAGTTTTGTTTGCGTAAACCTCGCTGATCTAGTCCCCGACTTTGTTTTGGTGACTTGCCTTTGCCCTTGCCCTTTGAGGCGCTGGTGTAGTACCCACGCGACTGAACCGTGGACGCCAGCCTCTTGCTTGTGGCCGTCATGGCCTGATGCTCTTCAGTGTTGTCTGCCTCGTAGGGCTCGTTGGGCTGTTCTTCATCCTGCAAGGCCTCTATGGCCTCGTCCTCATAGAGCTCTTCCTCCTCGCCGTACTGGTAGTCCAAGGGGTCGTCGTCCGGCTCGGCCTCAAACTGCACGAGGTCTTCCGGCACAGTCTCATACACCTGAGGCTCAGCAGCTGGCTCATCCTCATAGGTGGTGTGCCATGTCTTCCACTTGAAGTTGCCACCACGTCCACGTCCTCGTGAACCTCCAGCGAAGCCTCGGCCTCGTGGTCGTGAACCACCTGTTGCAACAGCGGGAGGATGTCGTGACAATCCCGTCAGGCAGGGTCAAAACTGCTGGGTACTGGACGCGGATCGCCTCGATGAGGGGGTCGAAGTTGTACCGGTTGGTGGCGGCCAAGAGCAACGATGAAGTCGCCCGTTCATCCAGCTTCAACCCATCCAAGAGCTTGATGGCCCGAGTCTCATCTGGGTAGGGCTCAAGCTTGGCGTCTTTCAGCTTGCGTTCATAGAGGCGGAACCGGCGAACAAAGGCCGTCACCGATTCTCCCTGCATCCGTGTCAAACTTTCGTACTCGCGGATCAGTCCTCCGCGTCTGAACAACTCCTTCTCACAGAAGGCCACGGAGAGGTCTTCGATGAGCAGCTCAAGGCCACGATCGCAGTTGTAGCGGTCGTCGCTGACTTCTTCCACTTCCAAGGCCGCGGCGTCGGTGAGTGCATCGAGGGCTCTCAATGCCTGCTCATTGCGAGGCAAGAACTCCTGAGTGATCATCTGCCATCGACCAAGGGCCTTCTTGTAGTGCCTCAAGCAGTACGGGTCGGCTTCAATGTCGCCCGCAAAGCTCGGTGGGGGCGGAACGTGCCCCGCTCTCCATTTCTTGGAACCACCAGAACCGCGCGATCCGCGCGAGCGACGCCGAGAGGAGGCGTTCGACGCAGCTGGACTGCCTGCAGGTCCTCCAGATGGCTTTGGTTGGCCACCTTCATCATTGAAGTCGTAGGGCCCCGAGCTGGAGCCACCACCACCTCGCGGTCCGACAGCAGCCGCGCCAAGTCCTAGCCGTAGTCCTCGAAGTTCTCCTCGTCCTCATTGAAGACATCGAAGTCCTCCGGCTCGATCTCGTCAGCGGCGCTGCCTAGGGCGCTCGCAGCATCAAGATCGTCATCCCATTGCCACATGCTGCCGCCAGGCGCGCAGGGCCAGACCAACCCGCGCTACCAATGCAATTACCAGGTCTGTGGAGCCTGGAGGTCCCTGGATCTCAAGCCGTGCGTGCTCTGACGGCTCACCTCTTTTCCATGGAGTCGCGACGAAGACGCAGGTCGTGCGTCGAGTGCACAAGTGTCCCACCCTCTGGTGGAGTTGAGTCAAAAGGTTGACGGCCGGCGTTCACATGGCAACATGAGTGACATGAAACTCGACATTCGCAATGTTGAAGTTTTCCGGACTGTGTTTGTTTGTATGTGTATACATATATACACAGATAGTTATATATATATATATTTGAAGAGAAATTGTTGAAAGAGCTCGCGCGATGACTCAGCCAAACCGCAGTGTCGAAAATTTCAGCAAGCCACTGACGAAGTAGATCTGGAATGGCCACTACACCTGGAGACCGAAAGATTCCGGACTTGCACCACGTACACCAGAATCCACAGGAATCACTGTGCCTCCTGTACCTCACAAGAGCGGCCTTTACAATCCTTTTCGGTGCCAACCTTCTCCGCACAGTACTTCTTTGTGACCCATCACCTTGGATTCAATTCTATCCCTCAGACTCGAAAGATCCCTAGACTGAGCTTTCGAGCAAAAGATCTTGAAAGCTCCCAAGACCCCGGACCGAGCTGGAGGGCACCAGCACCCGGAATTGTAGCTCTCCTTTGGAAGGGTCAACCACCTCGACATCCGTCCAATCACGTACTTACATACGATACAGATGGACCAGCCAGCGGTACTTCTGCGATGCAAATCATGTCCAATGAGCTTAAGATGCACCAAGCAACAAATGGAGGGTCATCCCATCGCGGATTCTTGTCGCCACCTGAACAGGTCCGTGGGATGAAGCAACAGAATCCATGGTTTTGATTGCTCTATCTCTGCTCGAATAGTTGAAACGGACGCTCGACAGTTTAATCTGCCCACGAAACTATCATCAGCATCTTTTGTCAACATTCCCTCAATGAAGTGTCCATACTTGTTCAAATGACTTGACTAGCCAAACCAGTCTACCATCTGAATGCCAGCAGCGTTTTGGTTTCAGGTTCGATGCCCACCTTGGTGGGGTCGAGTCCGGCCCACAGTGCGACCTCCTTGTTGGACCTTTCAAGGCATCCGGCATCCGGCGGCCGGCGCCTCTCATGTCAACTTTCTGAAGCACAGAGCCGTGCCTCCGCCCATGGCGATTGAGTGGCCCAAATGGTGAAGAAACGCGTCAGATTTGCACCTCGTGAACACGTCAAAACCAAAAACAAGGCGAGTGTGTTTCTTGTTTAACAGGCCGAAACCTGCTTGAACTGCCCAACCATGAGTTCTGCACCCTGACATTTGATCTCAAGCATCAGGATCAAGAGGATGCATGGGCATTGTGAACATAGCGCCACTTCCAAGCATGATACTGCAAGGTAGAGTTGTTGCAAACAAGGCAAGCTATGTTTGCGAACTAAAGTGGTGAAACGAAACACCTAAGCCAAATGGAGCCTCTAGGTGGTGTGAATTGTTTCCTGCGGCTGAAAGCCTCATTCGCAGGATATCGCTGTTTGCGTAAAGACAAACTGGGAAAAAGCACATCGCTATTTGGTTGGAGGCCATCGCTAGTAGGTTGGATGCCATTACAATTAGGCTGGAGGCCATTTCTATTAGAACTTTCGGCACCCAGCACTGATCACATTCTACACTTCTCTATGATGGAGTCCTCTTGCGGAACAGACCGAGGATCTCTCAAAAGCAAGTCGCTTTTGTCTGACAAATGTACAATGCAAGCATCCTTGCAGCCACATTGGGTAAAAGAATGCGTTCTGGCGGATCAATGTGAGTTCCCCACAGACCCTGAAGCGTGATACAAGAAGCTGAGAAAGCATTTGCCAGCAAGAACAAAAGCGTACATAATTGCCTCTCATAACATGTTTGTAGTACCTTTTGCCACGCGCAAAATAAATGCGGCAAACACCAGCATCACGCACATCCTCACCTACGTAGCGAAATTTACACACCTCGATTGAGGCCTGTGTTCTGCTCTCTGAGAGAGTCTCTAAGAGCCTAACTTTGGGCACCATCGGGACTAGAAACCACGGAGGCTTTCATCATTGACTCACTGCAATGAGTGGTAGTAGGACGATCACCAAATGAGTGATTCTTGTGCTGCGGCCTTCTGCTTCCTTAAAACCCGAAGGACTGAAGAGAACTTCAGAAGCAGCAGGGACCTTACCAATGCATACCGAAGCAGTCTTCTACACACTGCGAAAGACTGTCAAAGTGGAAAGCTAAAAAGAGGCATGTCAAATGTCCCAACTTGCAGGCCATTCACAGACAAAAACGTTCATAAAACAGACCATCCGCCCAGTTGGACCCAGGTGAGCCATTCAGAACTGAATGCAGTACAAGGATCACATGCTATTGGAGTTGCATGCTTGCACCACTCACAGAACCAGGGTCTTGTGGAACCTGCTGTGGAAAGAAGCTGCCTGTATGTGTACTTGCAAATCCTCTTGATGGCGGAAGAGAGCGCTTTCCTCGTGATGGAGGAGATGATAGTCTGTGGCTAGCATTTGGAGTGAATAGTCGGCTGGTGTCCACTTGTGGTACAGGATTGGTGTAAACTCGCTTCAGTATGCGACCTGCTTTTGAGTCCAGACCGAAGACTTTCCACAAATCCGTATTGTCCACCTCCTTTTTCCATGTCTCTTTCCCCAGTTCCCGTGGAGACCTTCGAAGGATAGCCGCAATGCGCTTTTCGCTGATGAGCCTTGCATTGTCTTTAGGTCTCACCACCTTCAGAGTCTTCACAGCCACGGTGGCATTGGATGTCTTGGGGACACCCTGCTGGATCATGGCCGCTCGCACGTCGGTCTTGTTGGTGCCTTTCTTCTCTGCCAGGAGCTCCAATGCGATTTCAAACTGAAAGAAATCGATCCGGTTGGTCCCCCGAGCTTTCACACGGTTGTCAGCAAAAATTAGATCCACACTGGTGGTGTCCAGCTTCTTGTCAATGAGGCTGCAGTCTTGGCACAGCTTCTTGAAACCTTCACATGTCTCTTGAAACCTGACTTAAGCAGCAATTACAGTAAAACTGTGAAACAAAGACAGCCCTGGCCCTGCCTTTCCCATCCATATCAGAATGACCAACTCCGCAGAAGTTGTAAAAAACAGCTTCGAGGCCGTCATTATCTGCCGGAGCCAAAATGGCCTTTGCTTTCATGGCTTCTCTTGGCCCATGGCCGGATTTGATCCTTGGCCGATGCTCGATCCAGCAATCACAGGAACAAGCAAACGCAAATGATGCTGTCAAACCTTGGAGGGCCATGGGGAGATACAAATGCCATGCAAACGCAATCCCTCCTGCCAAGATACCAGGCTGCAAACTCAGCATATGAGACTTCGCCGTCCTTTCAAAGACGGCTCCACAGGAGATGTAAAATTCAGCAGCTGTTTGTTTGTCGTTTGTTTGTGCACGTCTCTGTATTGTTTCCTCTGGCAATTGTCCTTAGGCTCAAGGCCTCGATCCAAGTGCATTGTATAGCACTGTGCAATTGTACATGAACACTACGATGGAGCAAATGAACTATTGTGAAAGAACTTGTCTCTTGACACCGTCCCTTGGATTGATTCATTGTTGAATCAAACCATCAAAACAAACATTGTTGAAACTGTAAAGAAACATTATTGTACAAATCAGTTCAAAGTATTGTAGGCAAGTCTGTACATCTTCTCGCCTTTGTTCTTCCAGCTTGTTGCCATACTTTTCGTAGTGCTCGTATGGCATTGTTTCCGCTGGAGCCAGGCCTCTGGTAGAGCCATTGTTCTAGCCCTCCATGGAGTCGACCGTATTGTCCAAGGTCTCGGTGGATTGTCTGGGACGTTTTGTCCCTTTGCCATCCTCTTCGTCCTCGGATTGTTCCAGGTCGATTGTCCTGTCTCGTTCCTTGATGTAGGCACTGTGCTCTGAGTGCCCTCGCCGATGTCGCTTCGGGATTGTCACGTGAAACGTGTCGATCTTCTTGTCTGCCTTGTAGACTCCCAAAGCCAATTGTACTTCTGGCGGCAATTGTGACTGGCCAAATTGTCCGAGGTGTGCCAATGCCATTCCGAAGATTGTATGATGCGGGGAATCTTCCGGAATAGTCAACATTGTCCTCACATGGATTGTGTGGCCATAGAGCCAAATCCAGCCGTTCTCCCAGTTGTACTTGTCGAACTTGTCGATCGCATTGTAGCGCAGGTGGATCACTCGCAGGTTGCATGCTGTAGTTGTAGGGTGCATGGACTTGTAGTACCTGCACGCTGTATCCCCTTTGGAATGATGTCACCATCTTTTGCGACATGTGGTGGATCAGATTGTGCTCCTCGAAGGCGATCGCGATCAACACCGTCTCGTTGTTCGACATTGTGTGCCCTTGCGATTGGTGATACGCAAGCCATTGAATGGCTTCCTCGCTTGTAGGAACCATTATGCGTTGTTCCCAACTTCCGGGTTTCCGGATTGAGCCCGGGAGCTTGTCGATCCTGCCGTCACTGTTCAGCATTGTCACATATTCGGTCATTGTGACCGCTGAAAACCAGTAGGTCGTAATGTCGTCTAAAGCGTCGACCCATGCCACATCTTTGTAATTCGCTGGGTGCAGAATCGTGCTCTCGAGGTTGTCCACGTTGAAGATTGTTGCCCTGTTGTCCCAAAGCGAGATTGTAGATCCCGTGGGCAACCTTTTCTGGTTGTGGTAGTCTGGGATTGTCAACTCAGCTGCCATCTTCAACTTCCAGATTGTTCTCGAGATTGTCGATCCAGCTTGTCGCGGATTGTGAGCTTGAAAAGCGGCTGCGGTCATAGATTGTCGACAAATTGTCAACTCAGAAAACATGCATTGTCTTCCAAATTCTAAAAGCAAAACTTCAAACACATTGTCCATCGAATTGTACTCCGAAACGACGAAAAGAAAGTTGAGCTCATTGTGAAACTAAAGATCTTGTAGTACATATTGTCTATGACATAGTATGCGCATAGTAGCTAGAGTAGTGTGCCATGGCTCGACGCGCCCATGTGTGTGTTGTACACGCATTGGCGCTGCCACGGTTGTGAAACTGTTTGTACGGCCGCTGGTTAGTTGTGGTGTTGTGGGCATTGAATGCCCGCCATGTAGAGGTGTTTGTTGAGCACCTCTGCCGAGACATACTTCGTCAGTATGTCTGCTGGGTTGTCATGTGTGCTGATTTTGTGTATTGATAGTACCCCGCTTTGCACCAGTTGTTGTATGAAGAGGTACTTCAGGTCAATGTGTTTTGCTTTCTTTGATGAGCCAATTCTTGTGGCAATGCTTTTGCCGCTTGTGCTGTCAGTGTGTATGCGAATGTTCACTTTTGTTGTTGTTGCTTCCTTGATGAAGTTTGCTATATGTAGTCCTTCTTGTGCTCCTGCGCCAATTGCGTAAAGCTCTGATTCTGCTGATGATAGTGCTACTACTGCTTGTGTTCTGCTTCCAAATTGTACCACGGATCCCATCATTGTCACGATGAATCCGCTTGTTGACTTTCTTGCGCTCGGGCATCCTGCCCAGTCTGCATCGACATAAATGTTGAGGTCGATGGGTTCCTTTGTTTGTGGTGTGTGTGTTGTCCTCAGGATCATCTTGTAATGTTGTGTTCCCCTGAGGTATCGCAGTAGATGCTTCACCTTGCGTAGACTTTGTTGTGTTGGTTGTTGTAGGTCTCGTGCCAGTTCTTTTGTAGCAAAGCTGATGTCTGGTCTTGTGTAGGTCAGCCATTATAGTTTTCCTACTGCTCTCCAAAAGTCTGCATGTTCTTGTGCGTCTAAAGGTGCTTCATCGTTTGTGGATTGTTTCAGGGTTGCCGTCCCTGGAGCTGATGCTGGATTGCTTGCTTCCATCTTTGTTTCCTTCAGCAATGTTGTGATGTATTCTGGTTTGAGGCTCACCTCGAAGAGGTCTCCATTGTTGTGAATGTCTCTGCCAAGGAATTGGATTGTCTGACCAATTCCCAATGTGCCGGTTGGTCGTAGTAGTACATGCTTCTGTACTTCGTTGAAAGTCTTCTCGACTTCTTGTTGTTGTCCAAGGAATAGTAAGTCATCCACATAGACCATCACAAACATTGTCTGTTCATTGTTCCTATATACGTTGGGTTCACTTGTCAGTCGAGTCAGTCCCATTTGTTGCAGGACTTGTGCAAAGTGATCTTGCCAAGATTTTGGACTTGATCGTAGTCCATATATTGCTTTGTTGAGCTTCCATACTGTGGTGGTGTTGTGACCACTCGGGTATAGTTCTGGTGGTGGCCACATGTAAAGGTTGTCCGTCGCTGCTGGTGCATGTAAGAATGCTGTTGACACATCTCCTGCTTGTATTGTCCAGTGGTTGTGTTGCGCCATTGTCAGGAGGATGCGTAAGATCCCAAAGATCGGTGTGCTCGCATAGATGTTGTCAAGGTCTTGGATTGTTTCCAGGAAGCCTTTTGCGACTATGCGACATCGCACTTCATCTTGTTTGGGTTTGTTGACCCACTTTGACTCGATGATCTTGTTCTTGTGTTCTTCTGGTACATCATTGTAGTTCATCTCTGTGAACACTCCTTGTGTTTTCATCGATTGTGCTTCTTTCTTCATTCCTTGTTGTACTTTCAATGGATCAAGACCTTCATTGTCGTAGACAAAGGGTTCTTGTAGCATCCTTTCCACTTCTGCTTCTTGTTCATCTTCACAGGATGCTGTGGTGATCTTGTCACCTTTCCTTGTGGTGATTGTCACTGCTTGTATTCTCATCTTTGCTTTTGGTTGTTCTTCATCTTGTCCTCTGTTCACTGCTGTTGAGGACTGCGCTGTCCTTGATTGTTTGGATTGTGCTTCACCTGTGGGCTCCTCGTGTTGTCGCTTGCTTGCTGGTGGTAATGGCAGTGGTGGTCTTGCCATTGTTGTTGGTGAAGTTGCCAATGGTGATGTTGCCATTGTTGTATCCATTGATTGGTGACGCATTGCTTGCGCTGGCAATGCCAGTGGTGTCTCTTGTACTGTCTGCGTGCTTGTATCCTCCATTGTAGTGTCAGCCTGTGTGCCAATTGCCTGTCTGTTTGTGGTATTGTCAGCTGGTAGAAGCAATTGTGTTGGAATTGCCATTGGTGTTGTTGGCAAGTTCCATGGATACACATTGATGGTATCCAATAGTTGCTTGTCATACTTGTCTGGCATGATCTGTCGTCGAATTGTTCTTGAATTGATTACTTTGCCAGGGATGCCGACTATTGATTCTCCAGTCATTGTATCCCTGCCAAGCCAGATTCCTTTGAAGAATCTTGGCTCCATCTTGGGTTGTGCTTTTGTTGTTGGTATCATGTATTGTACTGTTTCTGCCATCTCGCATAGTGGTGCTTTGTGGTCCTTCTGCCATCGTCTTTGGTAACTTGTTTGTCCATCATTGTGCATGGCATACCTGTTCAGTAGCCAGGCTGCATGCCGTACGACCCACGGCATGACCGGATGTTGCACGCTCATTGAGAGGTTGTAGCTTGTGGTCACTTGTTGTACCAGTGCTCGGACTTGTCCCATCAGGGTGCGATGGAATCGTTCAATGCTTCCTTGTGATTGTGACGAGTATGCTGGTGATTGTCGGATGTTGACGTTGTTTCCGAGCTTTTGTGCGACGGTCTTCAGCAGGTTCTGTATGTATTCTTATTGGTCTGATTGGAGTGTTGTGGTGGATAGTGTTGCTTGTGCTCGTCCACATTCAAACATGAATGTTTGTAGACATCGTGTCAGGTATTGTTGTTGTTGGTTCTTGTCTTGCACAAGAACTGCCATTGCCATACCTGATTCGACATCTATTGCCGTAAGGACTGGTAGTACTTTTTTGTCTCCAAATGCTTTCATGTAGGTGAAGTCCACTTGTATCACTGGTTGTTTGCTTGCTTGTTTTGGGTGATTGTCTGTTCTTCCTTTGCTCTTTACACATATTGGGCACCATGAGCGATATGGTAAGTGTGTCAGCTCATGTTCTAGCCTCTCTTGTCTTGTTGGTTGTTGTGGCGCCTTCATCCCTTTGGCGCGTTGCGCTTGTTGAGATTCATCTTCATTGTCCGTGTCGTATTCGTATTTGTACGTCGCTTCTTCCTCGAAGTTTGTTGATCCTGTCCATTGTCTGTCAAGCTGTCTTGCTCCTGATTCCTGCCAATTGTCATGGATTGTGTATCCTCTTCCTTGTTCCGTCCTGTTCACGAACGTTGTCCGTGTCGGTTTAAGTCGTCCAATGTCTGGACCATCATCTGTCTGTTGTGGTACGTACATTGTTGTCCGTGCTTGTACGTGAACTCGTTTCCAATAATGTCCTTCTCTGATCCAATAGTCTGTTGTTGGTGTCATTGTTGATGGATCAGGTACTGCCGTGGTCATTGGCGCTGGCTTCTTCGTTGTGTGTCTGTATAGTGGCTCTCTGCTTGTCTGTGGTGTTGTCCCGTCTCCGTCCGAGACCCGCAGTGTTGTGGATTGATGGTGCCTGTATTGCTTGTGATGCTTTCTCTGTCTTCTCTGTTGTCTTCGCCGTTGTAGGTGCTGGTTGTGCTGGCGGCTTGTTCACTCTGAACCACGTTTCTCCTGTCCATGTGTCTCCTTGTATCACTCTTCGTTGTTCGTGTTTGTTCAAGTCATGGTATTGTTCAACAATGTCTTCGTTGTTCCCATCGGTTCGCCGGATGATTGTTCGTCTGTAGTTGCTCAATGTCTCCAGTGGTACTGGGCAATTGTTGCCAGGAACAAAGAGAGCTTTCCTCTTGTTCCGGTGATACCGTACAAGGTATCCTTCATTGTTGTAGTTCCAGTAGTCGCTATTGCCTCCAAGGACTTGTTGTGGTCCATGTCTTGTCAGTGTTGTTGGGGCAATCATTGCAATCATGCCCTTTTGTGTATGTCTCAGCTGTAGTTGTTGATGTTGTCCCAGGTTCATGACTGTGGCTGGTAAGTAGTAGAGATTGCGTTGCTGCACCAAGGGAACATTGAATCCCTTGTCATGGCGCATTGTTGGAGTGTCGTTGAACCTGATGTCGAAGCCTTGTTCTGCCAGTCTTGTCACTGACAGGATTGGGTCGTGGATGTCACACACATAGACTGGTATGACAATTGGTTGTCCTCTTGATTGCATGTAGACCCATCTTACTCCATAGCATTGTATTGTCTTGTTCGTCACTGTCCTAAGGTTTGGGCTTTGTGCTTGATCGATCTTGTACACTGGATAGTTGTCTGCAAACCATAGTGGACAGACGTGTGTGGCTGCTCCACTGTCGATCATGATGTGCATAGTGTCTGTTGTGCCGCTGCTTGTGGTGTCTGTCTTGTAGTCATTGCCATTGTTGATCATGGCGATGACATGGATTGGTGTCATGTCATTGTTGCCATTGGATGGAATTGGTGGTAGTGCCAATGGCTGTTGTCCTGGTTGTGGTCTCATGTAGTCCTGACAGTACCATCCATTGTCATAGTAGTCATCGTACCATTGTGCTGTCGCATCCTCAATGTCGTTGCTTTCTCCTTGTCCAATGTTGTGTATTGCCACTCTGCAATCTTTGGCAAAATGTCCTGTTCTTCCACATCTGTAGCATGTATCTGTTGCTTGTTTTCCTTTGTTCTTTCCCTTGCCTTTGTTGTATCCTTTGCTGAATCCTTTGTTTCCTTTGTTGCCTCTTCCGAATGGATTGCCAAGGCCGATCGGACTGTTGTTGTAGTTGTTGAATCCTTTTCCTCCATGCTTTCCTTTTCCTTTGTGGCTGATGTTGTAACTGTTGTATCCGTAGCCGTTGTATCCTCCGTAGCCTTTGCCTTTGTTCTTTCCTTTTCCTTTGCCTTTTCCTTTGTAACTGTTGTACTTACCTTTTCCTTTGTGGATTGCATCAATGTCCATGGGTGCTTGTCCTTCACCAAAGCTTGTTGCTACACTGGATGATTGTGATCGTACTTGTTGCAGTTTGCTGAATGCTGTTGTTGATCTGTAGTACTCGATGATTGTTTGTTTGACTCGTGCATAGTTTGGGCTTTGTCCTGAAAGCAGTTGTAGGTGTTGTTGTAGTGGTCCACTTGTCTCGTTGAGCAATACGGCAATCTTCACTGAGTCTGGGACTGTTTGTCCATTGTCTCGCTCAAATCGTTGTAGTTCAAATTCCCATGTGGAAAATGATTCTTCGAAGTTGTTCTTGTCAAAGGTCGGCTTCAACAATCTTGTCAAGTGTCCTATGGATCTTGTCCCCAATGGGATGGAGAAGCGGATGCACAGTTGTCTGTACATCTCGAAGCCAATTGTGTGTTGGTATTGTCTGCATACTGTAGCTGCTGCTCCATTTGTTGTGTTGATGAGGATGTACCTCAAATTTGTGCTGAGGCGAACATGTCGTTCACCGTCTTCGATTGTTGATGCCGCTGCTCGTAATTGTACCTCTGTGAGCTCTGCTGTGCCTCGTTCTGCTGCTTGTAGTAGTTCTGTGTAGTCGTTGTCTTGCAATCCCATGTATGCTGTGAACTTGTACTTCCATTCTTCGAACGTGCCATAGTCTCCATTGAAGAAGGGTGGTTTGAGTTTGTATCTGTTCATGTTTACTATGTTGGCCGTTGTCTCATCTTCTGGAACTGGAGGAAGTCCATCTCCAGCTTGAGCTGCTGCTTGTTGCGCTGCCATTGTTGCAGCTGCGCAAGCTACCTATTGTAGGGTCAAGGCTTGCTCTCCGTTGTGTGTGTTTGTTGGCTTATGCCTGTTGTTGTATTGGAGCTCACCTGGATTGTTGTTACCAGGATCCTTGCTCCGCTACCATGTAAAATTCAGCAGCTGTTTGTTTGTCGTTTGTTTGTGCACGTCTCTGTATTGTTTCCTCTGGCAATTGTCCTTAGGCTCAAGGCCTCGATCCAAGTGCATTGTATAGCACTGTGCAATTGTACATGAACACTACGATGGAGCAAATGAACTATTGTGAAAGAACTTGTCTCTTGACAGGAGAGAGATAGAGAGAGAGGGTTCAAACACCGAAGAAAGTGTGAGAAGAAAAACATGTTCCTTGGAAAACTTTCAGGTCTCAAAGACAGACTCGGGATGCGCAGCAGAAACGCTTTGCAACTCACACAGAAAATATGGCCTTGCTCTTGTCCAGGTCTGCGCAAATTTTCTTGACTTCATCCTCTGAAAAGGTTCCAAGCACCTGGGACCCCGAGCCACCTTGACTTGGCACACATGAGGTAAACGTTGAATCATGAGACTTCTGGCTGACTGATGGAAAGTGAGCATCGGCCTTGAGTGCTTTTCGCAATTCCTCGATGTTCAACGATCCATCACCAGTTGCATCATAGGTTTGAAAGGCCTCAAGGGTCCACAGGGCTGATGCTTAGATCCAACTGACAGCAAGCCTGCATGCTGCAAACCCATCGCCCTGCGCCTTTTTGATGCGCTCATCCCTTGCCTCACCAGTTTCCCTGCAAACAAAGCTTCGTAAATATATACATGGTTCAACCCAAGCGGCCAAGGACTACAAGAGAAGGGCACAGTGGAGCCTTGCTGGGAACGGATTCATGGGCCAGCTAAGTGTGCATATTTGATGCAAAACACAATGAAATGTCTGAGCTCAAGATTACAATTGCCGGCCTCAAGATTGCTCTGCTAACTGCCTGCAGCTCGGGGCAACTCTTTGATAAGTTGAATAACCAAAAACCATCAAAGCATCCCAACCTGTGTCAGTTCGTTGCCCTTCTTCAGCCAATGTAGGAATTCTTTATGAGATACCTTTCCATCTCCACCTGGCAAGCTGTGAAATCCTGTTGAATTTCCAAGTTGCAGAGAGCCTCTGTCCAGATCCTTGCACAAGGCGTCAATGTCTTTGAATGTAAAATCTGAGTTCAGCCTCAGACGACTGAAATTGAATCAAAAGCATCAAGAACAAAAAATATTCCAACATGTGCGTGTTCATCAGCATCCCCGCAACACAGCCACGCAGCATCCGGAAAACTCGTGCGAGTTCATCTCTGTCTAAATATCCACCGCCATCTGAGTCAAACCTCCACGGGGCCATCTACCAATGAATTGTACCGCAAATGCTCAACAGGAAATGGTTCTCCACAATCCACAATGTCCCAATATTCACCATCTTCATGTGATTGCAACTACATTATATAATCATGTGTACATATATACTGTATATATATTACAGCATATCTATATATATATATCAAGTATTGAAAGGCGCGAGTGGTGCATGAGTCAAGCCTCTGGAAGACTTCTCTGACACGAGCAGACCTCAACTCAACAAGAACAAGGAACAGCCAACAAAAAAGTACATCTCTTTGCATGGAGTGCAATTGATCAAGCCGCGGTGCATTGCATCCCCAGTTTCTTTGAGAATCATTTGGTAAACTTCAGTGGCTGCACCACCTTGGGTTGCGTGACAAATCGATGAAATATATATATATATATACTTGAGGCCAAGGGGGGGGGCGAAAGCTAGCGCTCCAGAATGGGAAAGTGGAGGGCAGCGAGGTAGGAAAAAACACGGCGCTCTTTTTGGAGGCAGGGGTGAAGAGTCCTTTATATGTGGCTCTTTGCCCGGATCCTCCTGCGAGAGAAGAGACAGAAGAGAGACGGAAAAACGAGAGACAGAGAAGAGAGAGAGAGAGAGGAGAGAGAGATGAGAGAGATGAGAGAGATGAGAGAGAGAGAGACAGTGAGACAGTGAGACAGTGAAACAGTGAGACAGTGAGACAGTGAGACAGTGAGACAGTGAGAGTGAGCGAGTGCGGCCGCAAGATACGCAACGCTAGCCGCATGCCAAAGAGCGACGACAGGACGGAGTCGAACTTGCGACGAAGAGGGAGGAGGGAGGGAAGACAAGGAGGAGGAGAGGGGAGGTGGGGAGAGGGGAGGTTGCTGTGCGTGGTACCCACTGCTCATGAGGAGCGCAGAGCCTTGAGCTGATGTAGTGGGTGTGGACGTTATGGGTGTTGAAAGTGGCCTGACGGCCAATGAAGCATGGCCTGTTGGCCACAACTTGTTGCACCCTGCAAGCACAGAGAAGAAAAGGTGCTGGAGTTGAAAGTTATATATATATATATATCACGAAAGCTAGCGAAGCTAGCTGGAGTTACTCTTGCGATAGCAAGGTTTCTTTCGACCGGGTGCAAATCCTAACCCCTGATTTTTCAAGTCGAAGCCCCCCCCCTCCTCTTCAACTGTATTGCCTTCTGTAAAAAAGTAGGGAACATGCCAGCCATCTGTATCACTCGAGCCCGTTGTTCTTGTGTCATCGAAGCTAAAAACTGAAAAGATCCGATCTCCTGGATGTATATCTCCATTACTTTCGCATTGATCCACCTTCCACGCCGTCTAACAAACTCCGAATCCTCGGTACATTGAAGTTGCCATGTCGCTCCGCCACGTCTGAGCGACCCAGCGTCCAGGGTCTTGTGACCCTGGAGGACTCCGGTTTGCAACGACAATGCACGGAGGATGTCCTTGAAGCGTTGTCTAAATGTAGCTGTGGAGAACGGCCACAATGGTTGATGCGGCTTTAGATCAGCAAAGGAGGTTTCAACCAGCTTGAGCAGATCTGGGATATCCAATTTTGCGCTCTGATGTCGTGCAGCAACAAACAGTGAAAGAAGGGCGAAGTTGTTTGTTCCCAGAGCATCAATTGGCAACAGTAAGTCCTTGCGGACGGCTCCAGCGATTTCACTGGTCCTCAACAAAGAACCCCATCCAAGAGCAAGAAGTCCTGCCATCTCTATCCATCCCCAGCCTATAGCAACACTCAACATACCCAGCAGCACTTGCCAAGGCATGGCTATATGGTGCTGTGGCCTTTCTTCACGTACCCACGCAAAAGCTAAGTTCCACGCAGGCTGAAGTTGCCGCTTCAAAACAGGCCTGTATGAAGAAATACTGTTCACAGATTCAACATAAATATTATAAGTACGTCCTGCTTCGTACAGTCTTCTTCCATACAGCTGGAGGATCTCGTTTATCCTTTCGACATGCTGCAGTGGTCTCTCAAGAAGGGACCTCAGGTTGAAGCCACAAAAATCACACCAGTTCAGCAGGTCAAAAAGGAGTCGGTCACGGTTTCCAGCAGTAGCCTCCGTTACAGGTCTACCTGAAGGCAGAGGCCTCAACCGTCGTGCAGCTTGGCGCGATCTGTCCCCAGGTGTCTTAGGTACTATCACGCCATGGCTACGCCCCAAAAGCTGCAAGCTAACTAGAGACCACAGGACAAGACATGAAGACGGGAAGGACAGGCGACAAGGAGAGAGGAAGAAATGGCCTTCACCGGGAAATCCAAGTGTGCGATCAAAATCCATGGTGGAGCCAGGAGGAGAATAAGCTGCTGGGAGGGATGACCTTGGCACCGGGAGCCACACAAGTTCATGAAGGCGGCCGGTCTGAGAAAAGACTTCAAGTCCATGAAATCCATAAAGTCCACAGACAAGCCTGACCCAATTCGAGGCCCAGCGACGAAGCTTTGGAAGCGAGCACAGACACTGAACGTCTGCGTTTGAAAGGTCTCCGAGCCGTGGAATGCTCCATGCCTGTCGTACTTCACGATCTCTGGTAGGATCATCTGCTGTATTCAACCTGGTAGGCACGAAAGGCAGTGTAAAATAAAGGCCAGCAGCCACGCAGGTGGCACCAAACTTTCTCACAAAAGGAGCTAAGGCTCTGCTTGAAGTCCTTCCTTTTGAAGCTGAACATCGAACAACATTGTAGTCCACAAAGTTGACGACTCTAAGGGCTGAAGGTGAACGAGCAAGCTTTTCACTCAATCTGACAAGACTCTTCATCTCCAAAAGGTTTATATGCCGAGGGGTCGAAAAAGACCAAACATCTTTCATCCTCCAGTCAGCAGAAGTTGCAACGAAGTTTACCAGCTGATTCTCCAAGCCGTCGGTCTTGTAGTCGTCATATTCAAGGATACTCCTCTGACGGCTTTTCACCGCTTCGAAAAAGCATAGGGCTATCTGAGCAGCTAGTTCTTCAGTGTAGGAGGCAGAGGCTTTGGTGAACTTCCCTCAACAACCACATGGGAGTGGTCCCTAGAGCATCTCTTTTGAACATGTGTCAAACGCATGTTCACTGCCATGAACCTGAAGCTCTTCTGGTGTGGTGACCCAAAAGCGCAGGAGTCGGATCTAACTGTGTTGACCCGAGGTTTGCTTGCAATCGCCTGCCACGGAGGTAGGAAACGCATCAGCGAAGTCCATGGTTGTTCTATTAGCCCAGGAATAAAAAGGCGCCATGCAATGTGCAGAAAAGACAACGCTCGCAAGGCCAGTAAATTACCAGTCAGTGTTTTTGGACATTCAAGGCTCAGCACATGAGGATCATCTCTTGTCCTCAAAGCCGGCCTCCTCGTGATAGAAAAAGTAGTGCAAACCGGTTCCACCATGATGCTGCCCAAGTTTCCACTGACCAACATATAGCTCAACCATGCCACGACTCTAGTCAAAGTCATATCCAGCTCGCCACTATAGGAAATGTCGACCGGAGGCCCAACTCGCATGCCCAACCGAGCAGCTGCTTGTGACACTCTTGCTGATCCTGCATAGACCTCAATGAAATCATACTGGAAGGCCAACTGCTTGGATGGGCCCGGCTGGAAGGAAGACAATGTGTCATATTGAGTTGTATCATCAACTGCTGCTTCATCTCTGATCCCAAGCCTATCAAGCAGAATCTCATGCTGAGTTTTCAGCCTGGAATAAGCACCTTTTGTCTTGCAAGACCTCCACAGCTTTTCAACTACCGTGATCGGGACATTGGCTGATGTAATCGCCCCTTTCTCCTCAGAGGCGTCTGTAGCAAAAACTCGCCCCTCGAAAAGCGCACCAACGTCTGCAACTGCAAGCAATGCCAGGACTGACATGACAGTCAGCTCATCTGCTACGGAACGTGGAAGGCGCACTATACGAGGATGCTCACTTTCAACCAATGCTGCGTCGACAAGGCGGTGAGCTGCAGTGAAGATACTCATCAGCGGTCGTCTATACATTGCTATAGATGTCCAGGCTCCAACAACGCATAGGCGCAGCACATCTGTAGTCTGGTTAAGTTGACGTAGCTGAAGAGTCAACCAGCTCATAGCCAACCGTTTGCATATTGGAGCTCCAACAGTGGCGACACCCTTGCGCGCTGCTCTGTCGGATGTGTTGATCTCAGCTCCAATGACCTTGGCTCTTTCCTCTCCAAGGACATCTTTGTGGGGGGATCCAATGATCTTGTGCTCCTCATAGACCTCCTGGCTAGAGGCGAAATGTCTGAAAGCTCTGCTATCTTGGGCGGACGTCCTCTTCTCACGTGACATGCAGAAAAATCATCAATCACAAGGCCTTGACAAACTGCATGAAAAGGCACATTTGCAATAATCCTATCACTGTTGGCTGAAGAGCTGTTGCAACCTCGACTCCTACATGGTCTCCCTGAAAAAGCGACTTGAAGCATACATGCACATTATCAAGCAGCAAAGAAGGACGCGTAAAGAATGCATCTGACCCACCATCAAGTAGGCCGTCTCCGCCATCCTCCCTGCTTGCTCTTGGTCGCTCCTTGTTTTGACTGATGAAGCAATCAACCGCATGAAGCCCATGTAGAGAAGATAAAGGCACCTTGGGACCAACAGCATTGCATCGAGCCTTTTCTGGAGTCACCCAAAATTGATGATAAAAGTCACGACGATCTGTGGCATATATTTTCAGGCATTCAGTCCGCGGGTGTAGTGCAAGATCGACCAGATCGCTTCCGGCAGGGAGATTTCGCGATGGACCAAGAACCTTCCCTTCTTGCGAGTTCATTCCCCGCCGATCACCTATTTGTCTATCGTTGTCAATGTCTTTGAAGTTGTTGAACACCCTTGTCAATGACCACTCGTCGGCTGCCTCATTGCTGATAAAAAGGAGCCCACGTGAGTCCCATAATTTGGCCAGGCGAACAATCTCATCCTGTGTATCAGAGATTTTGGGATATTCCCCTTGCCGTGGGATATAACCATTTCTCAGCAGCTGAGGCATTCGGTATGCCATGCGTAGCCCATCATCAAGGTGATCTGTCGCATCAAAGAAACCTGTACCCACCAAACAAAGTCTGTAAGCATTCAAAGGCCTATATGGGTTTGTATTTTTTTAAGGTTCCCGGGCCGGGATGTTTGACTATGGGGTATGCTTCGGAGGTATGCTTCGGGGGTATGCTTCGGGGTATGCTTCGCGCAGTGTGAAGACTAAAGTAGTAGCATTTCCAGATGGTATGCTTCAGGGTATGCTTCGGGGTATGCTTCGCCTAAGTCGAACATCCCAGCCCTACATAAACTGGACACCTTAAAAAATGACAAGCCCATATGGCTGCAGCTCTGGAAGGACCTCATTTCGAAGTGGGACTTCATGACAACCAAACATGCGGCTGTAGGGCCCTTGGGCTCCAAGCTTTGTCAGGCTTTCAGACAGTTCTCCCAAACGCAACTAATTGAGGAAACTTTCGGCCACAGGCAAGAGTCTCGAACACCCCTGAATCTGGGCCGTCGCCCGCTATAATGCCCATCAACTTTTTGTAGATGCTCCGATGAGTAGAGGAAGGGCATCTCGACAAGAGCCTCTCGTTGGGGAAAGATCCCAAACCTCCATGCCAATAATTCAACGCCATCACAACAATATGAATAATATGAAGGACTCGCTTGAGATGAAGACGTCTTCTAGCATGAAGAGAGAGACATGCCGGCATCCTGTTGAAAAGGCCAGTCTCAGGGACCGGAACAGGGAAAAGCGACGAAGTCGAGACTGAGTCGTCTCGGGGCACATGTAGAGAAGACTTCAAAAATGCTGAAAATGGAGTTCTGGTTCGCAGCACATTTCGTAGAAGGCCAGCACACCACTTCCAAAAAGTAAAGGTCTTGGGCACCTTCGTGAACAAAAAGTCATTGAGGCCACCATCTTCTGCTTCCGGGACCTTATCGGGGGAGACGTCATAGTTCTCACCCTTCTTCTGAATTCGGACTGTCCTAGGTGAGCTATTCAAACGGGAACCATGAAACTCACCCGGCGTGCAATGATCTCGCTCGGTCATGAAGAGGTCTCCTGCGCCGCCTTCGGGCGCTTTGGAAACCTGGGCTTTCTCTTCGGAGAGCCTCCATCTGTCTCCTCCTTCACAAGCGAAGCCTTTGCCTTTGCTTCGGGCTTCTTGTTGGCAAGGATCTCCATGTCCTTCAAATAGCTCAATGTTGTGGCTGTCCATGAAGGCGGAATCAGTGGTGAGAACGGCCTTCTGTTGCTGTGACATTCACTGACCTCTCTTGGAACAACTGTATTGGCGGCTCCTCGATCAAGCTGATGAGATAGGCAACACCCCAATCGCCACCGTCGAAGTTTGCTTGTTTGACTGCCATAGCAAGCAAAGCCAGGATCTCCTTGACCCCCGCTATGTCTCCTTGCGCTGCAGCATCTATTGCGTGTGCAAGAATCCATTGAACTAACCCCAATGTCTTCTGGTTCCGATAGCCTCCATTTCGAGATACTCCAGGAAGGAGACCGCCCCAAGCTCTGCCTCGGTCTTTGGAAGGACTCGTCCTGGGTGGAGTCGCTTGTGCACTTGCTGCATCATCAGCAGGAAAAATTTCCCGACCTCGCTGCCAAATCTGCTTGCAGCTTCTCTCTCCGTTGGACCCCTTTCATAGACGAAGTTCCCGACAGACCTGCCTGCAGGTCCACAAGAGGATCTCCTGACTCCTTGTGAAGGCTCTCCATTTCCCACAAGCAATGCATTGGGTTCTTCTGGAGGAAGAGGGGCCAGAGCCTGCTGAAGCTGCATCTGAGACATCTTTGTTTTCGGAGGTCGACCCACCAAAGCGAGACTTTTTGCCACTGTAGATGGAGGGCCAGCCTCTGAACCAAGGGCGCCGGACACTGCCGGCAACTTGCTTGTCTTGCCAGTCTGCTGACCTCCTGCAGGAATGGCAGAGGTGGGAACGTTCCCCTGCTCGAGAAGGCCCTGTCTTGCCGCCAATAGCTGAACCTGAGAGGAAAGCGCGGTCATCTGCTCGAGAAGAACTGCATTGGTAACCCTCTTGGGGGCTGCTGCTTTCTTTGCACCTTGCTTTGCTTTCGGAGCACTGCCCGGGTCTTCTTGAGCCGAGTAAAACCCCGACGAAGCTTCCTGTCTCTCAGTAATCCACGCCACGACCAGCTGGTTCAACGCTTGCAAATCAGGGATACATCCTGGACGCTCATCATGGTACGGCACGACCTCGATGTCAGAGTCAACAACTGGATCGTACTGCCTCACAAAATTGAGCAGGTCATCGGTCACATCAATGACATCCACCATGCCAGCTGCATTGAGAGGCACGGGGGTTCCATCATCAGCTTCCTCGACCAATGGGACCTCCAAAGCAACTCCTACACCCAGCCAGGTGGGAGCCATCTCTGCTGCATCAACGTCCTCAAACATGCTGGGAGAAATCACACCATGAGGGATGCACAAAAGGAATCCCCCCTCTCTGCCCAAACAAAGGAAGCCCATATAGTTCCGTCACTGCTCCTGTAACGGGAGGGGACAAAGTGACCACCAGGAGCGAATAGTCACTGTGCCCTGCTGCAAACCTCACTTCACGCCGCTGCATTGATACAGCGGAGGCACGCTCGTCCCGAGGGACGAGCAGAAAACCTGAATCTCTGTGATGGATGGGAATCCCTGGTAAATGACACCGTCAGCACCAGCCTTCTGAGAGCTCAACAAAGAACGTAGTTCTGAGATCTTTCGAACTCTGATCGGTCCAGCCAAGCGGCTATGCCTCACCACAATCCAATGAGCGTCAGAGAGTGAGATGGGATCTGCCTGAGTATACTCGGTGTGTGTAGCGTTCGCTGCCCACGCCCAGAAACCAGCTCTCCAAGCTCGAACGATGCGATCCTTTGGATTTCCGACCACAGACGTGATCTTTGATGATGCTAAAGCGAGCAAGTCCTCAGGAATAGGCTGTGGCCCGTCTTCGAAAATCCGAAGGGGGTCAAGCTTCACGCTCAACAAAGTCGGAGTCTCTTCCTCAACTAGCTCCCACCCAGCAATAGAAGTCACAGGAGAAGACTTGGAGGAGGTAGAGGATGAAGTCGAGGATGCCAAGGACGACCTTTCCAAAGCTACACTCAATCTATTCAAAGCCTCAATCAAATGTCCAACGTCCTCCTTTGTGACCGGTGTGCTCATTCACCTCCTCTATAGGAAGCAAGTCTTGCTCTCTTCTCTAAAGCCGATGGCCTCAGCAAATCCAAATCGGGAGAAGCCTGAGCCTGAGTGCGTAGAGAGATGGACGAAGCAAGAGAGCAGGATGGCCCAAGTAGAACCAAAAGTAGATCGCTCCCAGCAGCGCAACCAAGATGCCAAGGGAGACCCCTGAAAGAAACCAGGGGAGGCAAGAAGATGAGCAATGGAGGGGGGAAACTGCGAGCAGACAAGTCAGAAAGGACCTTGACAAGATCCGAGACCGACTGAAGAGACCACATTCCTTGAGCGGAAAGGTGCAGAATCGTCACCAGTTTTAGGTCAGCATATACTTGCGTTGCAAAACCCCGGTCTTGACATTAAATTTGAGGAGTGAATGCATCAGCTTTGGTTCTTCAGTTTTTGCATCCCAGCCCTCTCCTCAGGTCCACGCTTCCATTTTTGATCCAAGCAATGAATTCGGAATGAGAAACCGACCCATCACCGCCTCCACACAACCATAGGTTACATTCAACATACAACAAACACCAAGAATTAGTACGCACCTCGATCCAGTTCGTGCACAAACTGTGTGACCTGCTTGGAGGTGAAGTTAGGACAAAGTGTCTTGAACACCGACCTTGGATTTTAAGGCAACAGGAACGGCTACGGCTAAGTAGTGTGCACACCAAAGCACGTCTCTGGTACATGTTGTATGTCACTTTCAAATGCCAAATGGCAACAGCTCACTCCGGTCAAGTGATCCACCACCATCTTTATCAAATCGATCGAAGACTTGTTGGATCCTGCGCAGGGACACTCATAACCCCTACAAGGTCCACCTTTGAAAAGAACTGAGTTTGATACAACCGAATCAAACACTGTCCTCTGTGCTAAGCCCTGTTCATCAACCACAGGCGCATGCTCTGTCGGTGAGGCTGCTCTTTCAGCCATTGCTCTGAAGCAAGCAAACAAAGTCAGATCCGTTGACGGGTTGACGTGCTGTTGAAGGACACAAAAATATTCAAGCAATATAACACAAAACTTGGCTGTTTGCTTTCTTTTGGTTTGATGGTCAAGACTTGTAGCAAACAACTACCGTAGCAACTACCGTAGTAGTCTGAATGGGGCGCACATCAATTGTTGTTCAACGCGCATCTGAAACACACAAAATGGGGGACCTTGTCAATTCATGCCTGCCAACAGCGCCTGATGGCGACGCTTGCACAAAAGAATACGCAGAACGTGCGCGGAAAATTGAAGATGTCCAAAGACAAGACTATGGGACATGTGTTAACATGGGTTGTCAGTCCAGGCCCTTTGGCCAACTGGTGGCTGCTCTAATAGTCTTAAAAGTCTAGGGGTGTTGTGGATCAAGTCCGTGTATGAATCAGTACAGTTGCTGAACGCTATGCCGGTAGCGCACAGGATGTGCAAATTTGTTGTGGGCGTGCGTATAAAAGACGAGTCCGCTCCTCTACAGATGAAACACCATTTTTGACGCAAGGCTGCAGTGCAGGGTCGCTTTGCAAGCAAAAACAAGTGCTGGTGGGCTTCCCCACAAACCCCCTAGTATCGTCGCAGCTTGAAACGTAGGCGACCTTCTATCTATCTCTCTCTCTCTCTCTCTCTCTCTTTTCAAGTGGGGACAGGTCGTCGAAGCAGAGTTTCAAGGGCAACACCTGCCCCAGACATGATCAGTTGGAGTGGTTGACCTGGGGGCTTTGCGGGGCGGCATATATTCCAGTCCCAGACAGGTCTTGTCTGGGTGCTTCCAACCTGGGTGCCTACCGGAAACCATAGTGAAACCGGTCTCAACACCACGCAGGATACGCAGGATGCCATGGGAAAGACACCCCAAGTGACCGATGGTCGATGAAGGATGCAGGTACGTTTCACGAACTGTTGAGGCATTTTGTTTAAAACATGTCTTTCCTTTTTTCGAGGTGCTTTCAACAGTGTTGTCAGTGTTCTTTGACTGTGGACTCCTGGAGTGGGTAGAGTATGCTAGCGTGACATTTCGCGTAGACGTATCTTGGGTGTTGATACCTCAAAGAAGTGGAATTTGGAGTCTATGGTTCGAACCACCTACCTCGACGTACACGAACTTATCCCCAGGCCAAGGAGATGCCTGAAGCCTTTGATCATCTCTTATAGTTTTTTTCTCTCCCCCTTGGTCTTTTCATGTCTTTGGCTAAACATTATTCGGCCTTCTCGGTGGTGGCTCCAAAAACCCTTTCGGGTCTGCTGAGAAATTCGAGTGTTACCACATTCATGCCAGCTGCTTTTGTTCGTGGTCTCCAAACAGGAGACCCCGACAGTGACAGAAAGCGGGGGTCGGTGCCCATGCCAACCGCTGCGTGACGCCATCGCCCAGGCAAACTGTGGAAGCACCATCTCAGACTCATTCCAAAGGAATCCAAAGAAAGGATGTAAGGGGATGTAGGAGATGTACTTGGGGATGTAAGGGGTATTTAGAAGGTCCAGTTGGTTGTCTCTTTGCAGTTTCCGGGGTCATATTGCTTGATATCAACAACGGTGACAACATTGACTACATTTCGGTGGGTCAACAGGCTACTCCGGAAATCTGACCTTTGTTTTAGTGGGATTTGATGGGTGCCGTTGGAGTGTCGCACTCATGCTTTGCAAATCAAACAATGAACTTTACTTGGTTACATTGCCTCAAGAGTAGTTCCTGTAACAAATGCCAAACACGTACCAACATGTCGCAAAAGGAAGCACAGCCTGCTGTACAACGGGGCTCTGGGTTTTAGTTTGCAACCCCCCAGTGATGCCTCAGTGACCCACCAAACGGATTAGGCTACAGCCTGCTATGTCGCAGGCTGAAGCGGTGCATCTCGAACCAGAACAATTCCCAAGCCCTTAAAAGACAAGCTCACTGAACTATATTGGGATTTTAGTGGAGTGCCCTCAATCCCCCCAATTTGTGGGCAGGTGATCCACGTACTTCCTGGTAGGACCAGTGGTTGACTTTAAGCATGGGAGGTTTCGTTCGGTTCCTTCTCGAGACAGTTTTTCTTCCAACACCCATAGGCATCACCAAACCACGGGAGTTTTGGTATGTTTCCTCTCGGTGATCTTCGCAAGTCCTCGTGGCTCACCTCTAATCCGGTGTAGCCACCTGGGTTACTCGCTATTGGGTTGGAGGCCATCGGTACTAGGCTGGAGGCCATCGCTATTAGGTTAAAGGCCATCGCTCTTAGGTTGGAGGCCATCTCTATATCAGGTCGGAGGCCATCGCTATATTAGGTTGGAAGCCATCGCTCTTAGGTTGGAGGCCATCGCTCTTAGGTTGGAGGCCATCGCTCTTAGGTTGGAGGCCATCGCTATATTAGGTTGGAGGCCATCGCTCTTAGGTTGGAGGCCATCGCTCTCACGTTGGAGACCATCGCTACTAGGCTGGAGGCCATCCCTAATA